GGATATGGACTTTAGTGGTACATGGGCTAATGGACTTTCTCATCTGTTTAACCCCTTCACGCCTAAGGGTAAAACAAATCTAACTCCTGAGCAAAAATTTTCAACGTTGACATGTGTTAGTAAAACCGTACATATCATCACAACTACTTTGTATATCCAGGTGGATTATACCTTCTTTTTTTCAGGACAAATTTGGCTTTTATTTGGTGGTAAATGGTAATGGATAGCTGCTGATTTTTTTTTATTATCAAAGGAAAACTGGCCCAAAACAGTAAAAAAAAAATCATTTTTTTTATTTAGCTGTGAGTTTCTTGTTACTACAATAACCTACCACTAAGAACAACCCAAAATAAATTCTCCAGCTCTTGATGATCGCAGCGATACCATATATGTGTATGTTATTTGTTGTTTGTACCCGTAGTACAGCCCAGAATCAATAGTGCACATTTTCTTTTTGTCTTTTTTTTTTTTTTTTTTTACCTAAAACACACTGACACTAACTGACATTGACACTAACTGACACTGATACCATTGTTTTTAAAATCCTGACCTTTTGATCTTGGACCTTTGACCCTGGCCCAAACACTAACCCTGGCACTGAACTAGATCAAACCTTAATCTAGGTATTTTTTCTTTATTTTTTATTTGTCTTTTTTTTTTTTTTCTACAAACATTTTTTTTCTCTCTATGCCAGGAGTTAGAGAGATACAATGTACCTCTCTTCTCCATTCATAGAGAGAGAAAAAAAACAAGGGGGCCGGGCTGCACAGTGACTGATCACTGTGATAGCCAATCAGAGGCTATCACAGCGATCATGTGTCCGGGTCCTGTTTGTTAGAATGGGACCCGGGGCTTGCAGTGACACAGCGATCTTGATGCTGGGAGCGCGCAGTGCGGTGCACTCCCAGCACAAAGACACGTACGCAAATATGCGGCCCCACGAAAAAAAGCCCAGTTCCGTGAGGCCACATATTTTGTGTGACGTCAGTGTCAAGGGGTTAAGGTATGACCACCTCATGGGGCACATAGAGCACCAAGGACACACTAAAAAGGTCACTTAGAGGACCTTGTACAGGAATATGTATGAAAGATGTTGCTGACAACTATTTACTTGTTAAATTAACTACTTCAGTTAACTTCTTCAGTAAAGAACTTTATTGTTAAGCCAATCTGCCAGGTCTGACATCACTAAAGGGGTGCATGCTTGGCGTGTCGAAGGGCAGGGCTTAGAAGGTGGATGAAGAGACATCAGTGCAGACTACAAAGGCCTAACCTTTAGTGGCAGGAGAAGAGGCTATATTGCCATTTCTAGGGGCATTTGGAGTAATGTTGGGTACTTAAGCAGTCAGCCAACGAGAGTCTGGATGACATGGCATGGGTGACAGAGGGCTCTGGTAGAGAGGGGGTTTGCAAGCTTAGCCCCCTCCCTAGCAATCAGTGCCCCACAAACAGGAACTGATATTGCAGCACAGGGTATCTCATGTACTTACCCTGGGGTGTCACGAAAGAGAGGTAGAGAGAGTGGGAGGCCTCAGGAATGTAATAGCTCGGAAACATGTGAAGAGATGACCTCTTGTGTCAGGGAGATGTCTTATGGTGTCACAGAGAGTGGGGTGACATGTTGGGGTGTGCTGATGGAGTGTGATGCAGGCTTCGCAGTCCACACTCGGAATTGCTGCATCCACTAGGAGAAGGTACAGAGCAACCACCTATGAGGTGTGTGCAATAAAGAAGAACATACAGGGAGGGTTACTCGCTTCTAAGTCTGAGTGCCGCCTTAATGGTGATTTCATGTGACAGAGGCCCCCGTCTGTGATTACTGACTTTAGCAAGCATTGCAAATGAGTCCCACTTGGGTGTGTTAAGAACCGGCCAACCTCTACTTGCCTTTTTTTGTGCACAGCTACTACAATTAAGATCCACTTTAAACACACTGTTTTGTGGAAGCTCAGCAGCCCATCTCAGACTGTGCAAGAATGTGCAACTGGTGGATCCCATTGTTGGATAGCCGCTCTCTCTGGCAGTGTCTGACAGTCAATATAATTTATTGAAAATAACAGCGATTAGCTGGTGTTCCCACATGCCCTGAAGGATAATCTGTAACTTGAACGCCCTGTTATTTATTACTTCAAAATTCCATCTTTTTCCCAAAAGGTGTTACAATGCCAGATTATTTCTCCTTCAGCATATCCAAAATACTAAAATAATCACTGTAGTTAGTCATCATTCCAGGTAGCAAATGCGTCATTAATCGTGAAGCCCAGAGAGACTTTTATTCTGAACGTTCTGACTAGAAAATCTTAATTTGGCTTGATCAGATTTCTGCTTCTCTAAGTCTCCCCAAAGATTTATCAAAGAGATTACCTGGGGGCTGAAACTCTTGTGAAGGTCTTAGCAGCCTCTTCCTGTATCCTGATTAGACTAAAAGCAGTGAATTTTTGTTTTTTTTTTCTTTCCTGCGTTCATTTCAGTCTGCTTTATTCTTAAGATATCAAGCCTGATAAATTTCTAGCTCCTGTTAGTGTCTACCAAGCTTTAATGATGTCTGCTGCTCAGATCTTTCTTCTCTAGGGATGCTCTCCATCTGCCTTCATCCTTGGATTGGCTGATTTTATCAGACCTCATCTCTTCAGTTTAACACCAGCTATTAAATTGTGTTCATCCATTTATAGTTTTCATTTTATACACATCAGAAGTCATTTTAGGATGGCATTCTTCGCTCCTTAAAGTGTTATTAAATCCAAAAAAAAGTAACCCCTTCATGACAAAAGTAAAACCAATGCCTGAATAAAATTTTGCAACATTAACATGTGCTTGTAAAACTGTACATACAGTGGGGATCGAAAGTTTGGGCACCCCAGCTAAAAATTTGTATTAATGTGCATAAGAAATGGAAAAATCTCCAAAAGGCATCAAATTACAGATTAGACATTCTTATTAATATGTCAACAAAAGTTAGATTTTAGAAGAACCCATGGTGCTGATTGTTGGGGCAAGGTCAGATGAGTCTGGGCATTAAAACCTTTGAGATTGACATAACCTGGTCTTCGCAGACGATGACTGAGAACAATCCATGACACTGGCAGGTCTCAGCTTTGCAAAGGGGGCAGTACAAGATATTAACTCTGCAGGGTGCCCAAACTTTTGCAGACGCCATTTTTTTGTTTTCTGTTATTTTGAAAGTGTAAATGATGGAAATAAAATCTAACTTTTGTTGACGTATTATAAGAATGTCTAATCTCTAATTTGATGCCTTTTGGAGATTTTTCCATCTTTCCTTGGCTTCTTTATGCACATTAATACAAATTTTTAGCTGGGGTGCCCAAACTTTCGATCCCCACTGTATCATTACAACTACTTCCAGGTGGATTATACTTAGTTTTTTTTTCAAGGCAAATTGGGTTTTCATTTGGTGGTAAATAGTAATGGATAGCTCCTGATTTTTTTATTATTCATTTAACGACCACCTGACTGCAAGGTACTTCCAATGGGTGGCCGCTGTAGGTAAAGTCATGTACCCATACGTCACTGCCTACTTCCGGGTTTTGGGCGCGTGCATGAACACCCCCTACAGCCGGTACCCGCTGTGATTGTACATAGTGGGAGCCTGTAAGCAAGTCCTGGCCAATGATTCACGGCTGGGACCTGCTAATCGCCTGCATACAGTCACAGCCCAAAGCTCTGTGTTGATAATCAACAAAAAACAAAGGACTAGTCACCAGTATTGCCTATAGGCTTTCTTCACCATATTATTTCCCCATTAGTTACTTACCATGCCTTGTTCCACGCTGCGTCCCTGTGTGAAGGCAGCCATTCTGGTAGAGGAGATGAGCTTTGCTGCTTCATATCAGAGCTGCTCACCTGTTGATTAATGATTTTAAGACTGATGGGGTAATAAGAAGTAGCAAAAGAATGAATGAAGTGAAATCAGGGAGATCCTTGCACTGCAAGTCCTTAGCTACAGCTATAGCAAGGAAAACAGTGAACTGCAGAGTAGTAACATCTCCAAATCTCACTGCAAATCTTTTCAAATAGGAAGTCAAAGGCAGCAGTACTTTAGGTGATATACAGCTATGAGATTCAATGCACAGGATGCATTCTGCTATTTTTGGACAAATTCAAGACAGAAGGTAAATCTTTTGTATCTTAGGCACAATTATTAACATTTCTATATGTTCCATGTAAGATAGTAAATCTTCACTTTTTGAGCTCAGGTACACATTAAGAGTAATGGAAGAACTGATATATTTACTTTTCCTGTAGAAAATGTTATTCTAGGCTTCCCTCTAGTACAGATTTTCTCAACCAGGGTGCCTTCAGGCTTCTTCAGGGGTGCCTTGGCAAAATGGCCAAAAATTGGATACAAGCCAGCAGGGGGATCAATCCTGCCTTTTAGTACACAAAGCCACAGTTTTCATTGTACACTTTTATGACCTTCTAGCTGCCAGCATCCTAACAACCAATGACATCATCAGTTGTTAAGGAGGATGTTGGGTGCATGCGCATCATCCTTGTTTGGCCCTCCCCTGCCTCTCTCCGTCAACACTGGGGTAACATTAGCAGAGTGATGGAGTGAAAATGAGAGAGACACTAGTCGGTACCAGTGTGCAAAGGTGTATTTGCTTTGTAAGACTAAGTCACCTCTAATGTTGGGTGTACTGGATGTGTGTTCGAATAGTTTTTCACATTTTAGATTGGGGTACCTTGAGACTGTTCAGAATTTTAAAGAGTGCCTTGAGATTATCCATAACTTTAAAGGGTGCCTTGACTGAAAAGAGGTTGAGAAACACTGCTCTAGTACATAGTCTTATGATAATAATGAAGTACAGGTGAACTATAAAGGGATGTCTTATGGTCCCCAAAAAAATATAATACATGGTTGTGCTTTTAAAACCAAATCAATATTTTAACTATAATTTTACAGTCTTATTAAAATGTAACTATCCTGGTTTGATCCTGTCTCTAAATGACTAATTTTGTTTGAATTCTGTGCAAAGCAGGAGGCGGAAGGTACTGGTAAAGAAGAGGAAGAGACAGATGTTGGTGCTGCCCAGGATTCCGAGGTCTTCACCCAGAAAAGCTTGGCTTCATCCCCAGAGGTGCCTCTACTTACCTATTCTCCTGTACACTGTAACCAACATTCAGTTCTGATTTGTACTAAGTATTTGGGTGACTTTAAACTCCCCCAGACATTAAGAGCACTTCCAATATTGGAATACCTATGTGTGATCTGGCCGATTATCACTTCTTCATAATGACAATTGGGAAGAACACACTAAGCCTCATATGCTTTAGTTTAATGTGTAGTGCAATTCACAGGCAAAAAAATGTTTGGAATGTAAGGAACAGTAGCAGGTCCCAAGGTTACAAAGGATAATGGATAGTGTTGCTCTTGGACATTTGCAAATGTATGGCTAGCTTTTTGATGGTCACAGTTAATAATTATCTTTCTATACATTTGGCAAATTACGTAAGAGCAGAACTTTTTTGTATTTGTTTCACATATCAATACATATAGAAGAGAGTTCATTTGAAAACAAACCTGTCAAAGATATGGCACAAAGGTGCCTTGTTATACATTCATAAAATGCTTTTAATGGATAAGTGGATGTCTGCACTGCAATTTACCATCTTTCATCCAAAGAAAATCCTGTAAAGTTCCATAAATGATTATTTAGACTTTACTGATAGAATAAAAGTAGCTTTTTTTTAGAAGGTCAGTTCTAAAAAAAGTGATTTCACCTAAATGTGAAACCCGAGAAATTGAGCCATGGGCAGGATTTTTATACCTCTTGAGGTCTCTGGCACTGCAATCTGCCTGCCATGCTTACTGGCTTTTTTCCTGTCTATGTTGGAGCGCTCACTATTTCTGCTTATCTTTCGGTATGCTTCGGATGAATTCTCCATAATATAAAATAAGTTAAAAGCCCAAGTGAACCCTCAGTTTAACTCAGCCACATACATTCCAGAGGCATCAAAACAAAGGGTAGTTAAAGCCTTACAGTTGATTTTCTTTAGAAAGCAGCCACAGCCTGAACAGAAAAGCCTGTTCTCTGTCAGCAGCAGCAGACCAGGACTCTTGTTCTCTCTGAGAAAACAGTGATCTCTTTCAAAGAGGTTCTCGCTGTCCCCGTCCTCCCTGGCTGAGTCAGAACAAGAGCTCTCCAATCTACAGGGAGGATGAGCTTTGCTAATTACAGAACTATAGATCTGAATCAGTAAGGGGTGTGTCAGACCTCTGCAATGAGACCACTGCTTCTACACAGAGAACAAGGACCCCACTTAGCAGCTTCAAGAGAGCAGGCTTTTCTGCTCAGGCTGTGGCTGCTAAAGAATGAAATCCAACTGTAAGACAGTGATTATAGTAAGTTCATTTTAGTTCATAAAACATTAAAACAAAACTGTATTTGCCTTGTGGATAATTTAAAAGTCTTAAAATCTGTATATGGATATTTTTCCGCTGTTCGTTTATAATAAGGCCTCACTCACACTGGCGCTGTCAAAACTGTATTTTATGTGCATTTATAAGACATTTGTAAACGCATATAAATGCATGTAATGATTTTTCAATGGTGCGTTTATCCACATTTAGATGCAGTCAGTTTAGCTGTGTTTATAGAAATGTGAATTCTCTGCATCCAGGTCTTGCTTAGATACTTATAGGCCTCGTTCACATGAGTGTTCAGAATGTGGTAAAAACACGCAGCTGCTCAAAGCCACACACAAGAAGCAAAGCCGCAGCAAAAATTAAATCCCATGAAAAGTGACCTATTCAACTGACTGGGGCCGCTTGGAAACACTCTGCAACCGCATGCAATGCATGTTGTTGTGGCAAGGTGGTGCGGTCTTTTCAGGGTTAAAACAGGCAGTTAGGAGGCAGCATTTTGCCTCCCAGCCACCTGTCAACCACATTTCAGAATGGCAGCAAGTGACTGTTTTTACTAAATACTGTATGTTCAGGCTACAATGAGTTCTGTGTTGGCAGGGTCTCTTAAAAAATGACTTCCACCCTAACTGAATATGGTGAAAGGTGGTTACTGTTACATTCAGCTGGTGATCTCTTGCTGCTTATGTGATTTCTGTCTGCTATAACTATGTGCCAGCACTCCTCCATAGGGTATCTTCTCACATTCACAAGACAATGAGGGGAAGTTTCTTAAGGTCTAATCTCTAGAGATGAGTAAAATTTTTCACACAGGGGTCCTTAATCAACCTGTACTCAAAATCAGTATATTTGTTTTGGATGATGTATACAATATCATGAAAATGGCAGTTCATGGGGTGTACATATGTTACTATATTTTACATTTGATTAGCACAAGTGTACATCTACCCCAAACTTTTTCTTTTGTTTTGAATATACTAAGGAATGGTTAAAACCCCTGTTAGTTTTTTTTTTTTTTGTTGTTGCCTGTGCCCCGTTGAAGAGCTTTCTCTTCACTTTCTGTTAGATCTAACAGGTTGTGAAAGGAAATCTTTCCAAAGTGAGGGATAATCCCTTCAGGCAGCACCGGGCGTTCCCATTGGAAGATTTCCTTTCATCTTTTTTTTTGTGTTGACAAAAATTTTCTATCTGTGAACACTCTTGATTCAAGTGACAAAGGTCACTAGGACAAAAAGAATTGGTGCGTCCCATTCACATAGAGCAACATAAACTTGACAGGGGTTCTTACCTTCGCTCCATTAGACAGTTGTCACAGGAACAACTTGGGGTTTATTCAGACTCTCTTCTGCATAGAAACCAATCAGCTTCCAGGTTTCATTGCCAAAGTTTCATTGAACAAGCTGAGGTTAGAAGCTGATTGGTTTCTATGCAGAAGGGAGTCTGATTTTGGACTCTCCAGCTATAGTAAATAAACCCCTTGTGTCCCCATGAGAAGACTTGCCCTCAGCTACTATTCTGGTGGCAACTCAACATTTTGTATATTTATTCACTTTCAGTAGTGGTTAAAATAGTCATTAAAGACAAATAGAGAAGTTGAATCTCTCTAAATGGGATACACAAAGCAATAAAAACTTGACAGGGGCACTAATCCTTCCCTACTTTATTCAAAACTAACATTTATGCCAAAAACAGGGGCAAGTAGTAATTAAAAAGGGAGTCATTAGCACTTTCATAGAGAACAATTAAAAGCATAATCACTGAGATAATAAGCTAGACTGTAGGAAGAAAAATAGGGAAAACACTTGAGAGAAGCAATTATTGTAAAAACTATATTTGCTGTCGTCGTGAGTTTCCAGCTAACCCCTTTCGCTCTGGTCACCATGTAGGGCATGGAGCATTGGGTTTTTATAGAAAGGACAACAGAAAAGTCTACATCACTTGAAGAGGTTCAGAAAAAGCAATCTGTCCAGATTTCTGGACAGGAGTTTTCTTCCAAAAGGGAAGAACATCCCCAGAAAGACCACCCTCACAAGGATAGGGAGGAACGGGAAATGGTGGATCTGCCTGAGGAGAAATCAGTATCTGTTGTGAAGGGTGCGGAAAGAAGAATAAGGCTACCACAGAGAGAAGAACGCCTAGTGATGGTCACCAGTGAATGGGAAGAAAGCAAAGCAAGAACTGCACCTGATGGTGCACCTGCTGAAGACAGTAGGGAATGGGTGCTCAGGTTGGAAAATGGTAAAGTCACTTCCTGGGGAAAAGGTGAACCATCAGATTCAAGAGGGAAAAATGGAGTGGATGGAGAAGACACCAGCACAAGAAGGATAGGAAGAGGAGTAGTGAGATCAGCAGGACACCAAGACATGGGTAGAACCATTGTTGAGCTTGGGGAAAGCAGACGCGTCATTTTGTGTGAAGATGAAGCTGACGACAGTGCTGATGAAACAGAAGGAGAATGGCACAATGAGGCCCACTGGGAGGATCAACAGAAATCTTTGATATGGTGTGAGAGTGCAGGATACCAAAAGAAAAATGAAAACCTGGAGAACATGGACATTTATGCATCACCAAACAAACAACATGGGAAGCGTTTTGTTGGTTCAGATGACCAAAAGGAGCAAAGTCAGCTAGGGAAGACAGTGACAGAACTATCCAGAGAGTACATCACTACTGACATTCTCATGCCAGATGACCATGATGAGGATTTAATAGAAGAGGAACATGGTAGGACCATTATCAGTACAGAAGAGGCAGGACCTTCTGGTTTTGCAAATGAACAGTTGTCCTCAACTGTACAAATGACAACTGAGAGTAACACAGAGGACTTACCATTGGAAGATTGGGGACCACCAGTGCTTCATTTTATGTTACCAACCATTATTCCACTACCAGTGGCTGCTCCCAGGGAGAGAGGTCACCAAGAATTAGCCACAGATAGTAATCCAACTGAAAGAATTCTTCTACAGCCAAATCACAGGCATCATGCTGCCCATTATTATGAAGGAAATGCAAGCCCTGCTGAATCCACAAGTGACACGCCTGGAGACCTCTCCTCTCCAGATTCAGGCTGTGAAATAACACTCACAGATGTGGCGGTAACTCCTGATCAGCATGTTTGTAGGGGGGAGGGAAAAGGCAACAAACCTGCTTTTTGTGGGCCCATTGTGGTTTGCCTAGCACGCCAGACCCCTGTATGAGCCAACTGAGGGGCATGATGTCGTAGTGGGATCTGTCTGCCTGTCTGTACCAAAATCCTCTCAACATTCGCTTCTGGCTGAAGTATCGTCTGGCTTAAAATACCCCGTCCCCCAAATATCAGGCTGAAAAGCATGGAAGCTAAAGAGGAGACGGGAGGGAGTTGCTGGAGGAGGGATAAATGAAGGGGTGCAGCCACGGCTAAACTGGTAGCATCAGTAAAATACATCTCCTGCACTCCAGGAATGAGCGCTTCCAGTGACACTACTGTGAATCATTGGCTCTGGCAGCTAGTTCTTATTCATCTGGGAAAACCAATACTTGGCAGATTTTCTGCAGTTCATGCCCCATGTTACATACATGAGTGGACTGAAAAAAAATGTCTTGCGCTTTGCACCACTATGGAAAAGAAAAGGTTACTAATCTCCATCCCACCTCCTCCCTACTCACTGCACTGAGGCTGCTGTGATCCTGCTTTTGTGCTCTGCATATGGACACTGATTCACTTGGCTGCATTAAAACTTGAAAGAGCTTGCATTGTAACTCTTATACCATATTTAGGGTCAAAGCCAGGTTGAACTATTTGAAGAAACATGTAGCTGTCTTCAGCTCTATTTCCAAAGGTATTCCATTATTTTTTTAACTCGTATTAACTTCTACTTCCTCAATGTCTCTTAACCCTCGGCTCTTCATGTTACAAAGAAATTTTTGCATAATAACTGGAGGAAATGTGGACATGTTTCCCATAGCATTTAGCTGGATTCCAGCTTGCATTTTATAACCTTAACTATATAGCCAAATCTTTGTGGGCACCTGCCCTTGACACCTACTATATGGCCAAAGTATGTGGACACATCTCCAAATTATTGAGTTCAGGTGTGTCTTGGGAAAGGTACTATTATTACTGCAGCATACAAAGACATTTTATACAATTGTGCACTTCCAGCCCTGTGGCAACAGTCCTTTTCTTTCCCAGTGTGACTGTGTCCTTGTACAGGAACACAGGTATATAAGGACATGGTTTCAACACGTGTTTGGTGTGGAGGACCGTGAGTCCCAACCCTATTGAATACTTTTGGGATAAACTAAAACACCAATTTCGAACCAGGTTTTCTTGTAAAACATTAGTACTTGACTTTACGAATCCTCTTTTGGTTGAATTGGCACAAATTCACACAGACACACTCTGAAATTCTGTGGAAAACCTTCCCAGAAGAGTGGGGTTACTATAGTCCTAAGGGGGTTGGGGGCAACTTATGATTTATGCCCATGATTTTGGAACAGGGTGTTCAACAAGCTCATATAGGTGTGATGGCCAAGTATCTACAAACCTTTGACCACAGAATGTAGGTTAAAGACAGATGGAACCTCACTGGCTATGCTAGAAATCAACTCTCTAAAAACTCTACTCTACTCAATTCTACATTCTTCCAGTTTTAATACAAGAACTCCTTTGTCCCTTTTTCTCTTTTCCCACACATCCTGTGTTATTTTTTTGCCAACTGTGACAAGAAAATAGAATACACCCTTTACTGTCATTATAATTTAATACAGCCTAGTGAATCTGAGTCCACCTTTGCCACGCTTGATGCTGTAGTGCCCAGCATCAGTCTCATGCATCGTGCTGCAGGTCTTGCTGTTTGCTCCTTGGGAATCCTTCACTCTAACCCTTCTCTCCTGCTCTAGAGTCAACCTCTTGAACCAACATCCTGGGAGGAAAGGGATATCCCATGTGCCCTCAGAGAGGTCTCCCTGCCGGACCAGGGTTATAGGAAATCCGGGATTGTCCATTTTCAGGTCAGGGCCATGAACGCCCTGATTTTGTCCTCTTAATTCCACTACTGCCTTGCAAAGAAATTCATGTCTGTGAACTTTTATTTTAATGTAATACATGTTATAAACAAATGATCTTCAGATAGTCACAGATTTATAGGTTTTTACGGCATCACTTCTATGGATGGCTGTACATTGGACTTATTTATAAAAAAAAATTGAGAGGAAGAAAAGTGTCTTTGATCATAGCAGCCAATAAGTATTCAGTTGACATTGGTTAGAAAGTCAAGGTTTGAGTATGAATTGGTTGCTATGACCACCATAGCTGCTTTTCTTTTGTCCACTTTTATAAACCAAAGCTAAATTTGTGTTGTCTGTACATGTGAACTTGTGATGATTAGGATGATTTGCCCCAATGTGCATTAAGAAATATAAACTGGATTTAGAAATCCTACATGTACTGTATTTCTTCATCTTTTCTTTTGCTAATAGGTGTTAAAAGGATTTGTTTTTCTGCTTGACCTAGACAAAAATCTGTTAAAGCTGTATAGAGATTTTGGAATGTTGACATTAAGTGATGATGAGCTGAGAATAAGTTTAATTTACCATTTTCTTCACCCTCAAAGGGACTATTTATTAAAGCAAAACATAAGATGAGAGGAGGTGGTCTCAGCGACCTGAGTATAATAAAACTAGTAGAAATTTAGTTTTTCTACTTGTAAATATATTCAGCTAATAGAATTAGTTTATTAATTTTAAAATTTTATTCAAAACACTTATGGAAGGGCAAAATCACGCATCTGTCTGAACTCATCTGAATTCACCTCTCCACCAACCACTTATTTCACTGTGACTTTCCCATCATGGCTTTTTGAATTCCCCCAGAGAGTGAGCAGCAGGGAGGCAGAGGAAGGGCGAACAGCAGGTGACGAGGAACAAGGCGCTGGCCTTCTAAAAGAAAACCAACTAAGCATTGAGAGGAAGTGTTCAAGCATAACCGTCAGCTCTACATCCAGTCTGGAAGCAGAGGTGGACTTCACAGTGATTGGAGATTACCACTCCAACGTAGGCTTCGAGGATTTCACCCGCAGCCTTCCTGAACTGCATCGAGACCAGGGCGATGGGGCTGGTGGCACAGAGATTAACCCTGCAACAGCTCCTCAAGAAATACATGATGAGGACAAGCAGGAGGAGGAAACAACAGAGGTACAACGCTACGGAATTGGAAACCACCCTTTATTCATTTTGTAATCCTGAGTATCACAACTTGGCTTCTCCAGTCTTCCATCCATCCCTAAGTGTTTAGCAGCATGGAATGTATTGAAAAGTGCATGAAATGGCCAAGCACACTGGTCCATAAGCTCTGATCCACATTTGTTCTTGACCATCGTGTTTGTATTATACCATAACTGTCCTCTGACCTCTGTTTGCATGCCCCTGTATTATCTGTTAACCTTGACCTGCATGCCATTGACAGTCAACCACTGAGCCAGGTAATATATTGAATGTCATCTGCCTAGTCATATGACATCATGAGAATATGTACTTTCTATGCATATATGTTGTTGTTGTTTTATTAATAGTCATCCCATGCATGTTTCTAATTCGCATTGTGCGTGGCCTTAAAATCTTCTATGTACAGTACACATAGCAGTCTGGTGTAATGTCTTCTCATGGTAATGAATTTCTTTGTTCCCACAGTCACACAAGACTATAGAGAAACATGTCATCAGTAGCTTGAGTACAGTTAGCAGGACAGATGGGGAGAAAATCACAAATATACAGATTACTTCCATGCAAACTACTCAGGTAAGCATATACAATACATTTCTTATACAGTACACAAGTTTATTCATTCTGCTAAAAACTGAAACATATATGCTGCCCTCTGTACATTAGTTAGTCCTCATGCACACTTGACGTGCTGTTTTTGGCTTTTGACGTTTTTTTTCTACAGCCAGTAAACCCCCCAGCAGGATATCCTATGTGTCCATGCACACACAGACTGTAATCAGCGTTTTTTGGCTGGGACATGTTTTGGCTGGAAAAAAACCCAGGACTAAAGGGTTTCTAGATGAGTTTTTTAGCTGTAAAAATGCTCTGACACTGAAAAACGCGGTAAAATGCTGCAGACCAGCGTTTTTGGACTTTTTTTGAAAAAAAAACACTAAAAAAAACGCAAACACAGAAAAACATGGGAAACCACCACTAAATGCTAATGCAAAAACACTAATAAAAGCTGAAAAACTCATGTTTTTAACGTGACTTTACACAGCTAACGTTACCAGACGTTATCAAAACGCCCAGTGTGCATGGAGACTCAAGAATGCATTTCCAACCCCCTACTACTACTACAGTCTCAGTACACATGTAAAAAGATGTATATTTAGATTATAAACCTTGCATGCATTGGGGGTGGTGTGAAAAAATTTTAATTTCAGTTATTATACATGCTCCACCAATGCAGGGTTCTTTAGCAGGGCATGAGTACTTGAGCCTGACTTGTATAAAGCCTGGCTAGCATAACGGGGTAGAGAACATAACTATTCACATTAGAGATTATTAAAGTGATGCTAAATACACATGGTTTAATATACATTATCTCTTCCCTTTATGTATGGTATGTGGATGATGGCATTGTAATTATTTTCATAAAAAAAAATTTAAGTACCCGTTTTCCTTATCGATATTCAGCTGTCACATGACCCAGCTCTTTCCCAGCCTCTCTGCAGAGAAACAGTGGCAGGAAGAGCTTCTAGACCTCACATGTTCAAAATGGAAAAAAACAGTCTTTGGGATACAGAGTAAAAATAAATAATTAATACCAATAAACTGTTTTAAACTGTCATACAAATATATATTTGAAATCAAATTTGTATTTTTTGGGGCAATAACATGTTATGGACAGATTTCTGCCAGTCACCGGGTGTGTCATGCCCCTCCAGCCTGTGGCTTAGAATAACAGGGAGGTGAAGCCTCCATCAATCAAGTTGTAATATCCCAACCACATTGTGTTTAGCTGGTTAATGGGCAGGGAGGAGAAGGGAGGGAGGGAGCTGTCATTTATCACTGTGTATACGCCCACATGTGTTACTTTATAGTCATATGGGCTGCTCAGATGTGATGGGGGGGAAATGCTATGGGTAGAAAAACACTGAAAACTGAGCACGTGTTCTAGCTGCCAACACTGTTGTGAAAAATCCCCAACTGCAGTGGACAGGAGGGGAGACAGAGAACAGCAGGATCAACCAGGTGTTTTTGCAAAATACAGAAAACGAATCCCATAGTGACTGAATAGAGTATGAACAGCATATAATACGGCATTTCTTGATGTTTTAATAATTTGAGTTTAATGACACTTTAAAGCAGAACTAAATCCACTGTGGGTGTGTGGAGCAAGTGCCACTGTTATCTTCTCCTGGGTTTTCTTTATGCCCGATGTCATTTTTCTTCAATTATTGGGTGACCACTAATCATGTACCTCTGCATATGAAAGTTGGAGTCACACCATCCGACATGGAGCTTCTTACAGATGTCATAGTAGGCCCCGGAGTGCACACTGCACTGCACGTCACATTTTCTTCTCCCTCTTAGGATCTGTTTTTACAGTTCTGCTTTATTAATGCAATGTCTTATTAAAAAGAGAAATTGGAAGCAGCCAATGGGCTTTTAGTTTACTGTAGCGAGAGCAGTGCATAACTGGGTTACCTACCTTTGCACATTTTTGTATGCACTTTTGCTTTTTTATGCTTTATGCTTTTTTAAAACAAACCTGTACTTTGGCCATTCAGACAAAAGTGTTGGCATTGTTAGAGTGGATAGGCACATGCTTACTTTCTATGCGCCCAATTGCTATTCTGTTTGGCCACCCGAAACCCTACAATATAATTTTGCAAGTTGTCCTATAATATGATCCTGATTCACTATTTGTTTGCCTTTGCAAATTATTATTACATTGAGTTTATATAGCGCCAAAGGGTTTGCTCAGCGCTGTAGAATAGAGGGGGGGACAATACATGAAACAGTACAGTAACATCAAACAGCACACGAGGGGTAAGAGGGCCCTACTCTTTCGAGCTTACAATCTAGGGGGGAGGGGGGGTAGTGGTACAGGAGGAAGTGGCTGTGGGGGATGGAGTGGTAGGAGGAATGAAGGAGAATGGCTGTTAGGTGAGGGTGGGGTGGGGTAGGCTTCCCTGAAGAGGTGGGTTTTCAGGGAGCGCCTGAAGGTGAGGAGGGAAGGTGACAGTCTGATGGATTGGGGTAGTGAGTTCCAGAGGATGGGGGAGGACCTGGAGAAGTCTTGCAGTCGTGCGTGGGAGGAGGAGACCAGGGAGCAAGATAGAAGGAGGTCCTGTGAAGAGCGAAGGGTACGGGTAGGGTGGTACCTGGGAATCAGGTTGGTGAGGTAGTTAGGGGCAGTGTTGTGAATGGCTTTGTAGGTCAGAGTGAGTAGTTTGAATTTGATGCGTTGGGCAATAGGGAGCCAGTGGAGGGATAGGCAGAGGGGGGTGGCAGATGTGGAGCGGTTGGTGAGGTGGATGAGTCTAGCCGCTGAGTTCAGGATGGTCTGAAGTGGGGAGAGCCTGCGCTGGGGCAGGCTGGTGAGGAGGGAGTTGCAGTAGTCGAGGCGTGAGATAATCAGGGAGTGTACGAGTAGTTTTAGTGGTGTCTGGGGAAAGGAAGGAGCGTATCTTGGCGATTCTGCGAAGGTGGAGCCTGCATGTGTTTGTAAGTCATTTGACATGATTCCCACAGTATCATCGCTATTTTTTATACAATGCTTATCAATATTGCACGACTGTTGAACTGAACCTTTCACAAGTCTGGGGATTTTATACTGAGTATATTATCTAAAAAGCATAAATCATGGTTATTTTAGTTAAAACATCAGGCATATATTTCACTACAGGCAGCTAAAATCACATGCAAATGTCTACTTTTTCCTGCAACTTTTTAGCAAAGCCCACCTTTTATGACTTCCAAATCTTCAAAATGGTCCTTTAATATGATGGGTAGGCTCAGGGACATGTTCTCCAAAGTAAAATCTTCCTGCGTTTGTCTGAGTTTCCTGCAGACTTCTTATTCCACAGTCCATAAGCATACTGGTGCGTTATTCACCTTCCATCCAGTATTTGACATTGTTACTATCCTCTTCCCAATTTAATTCTTCTTTATCTTTTGGCAGGTGGATGAGAAGGAGCCTGTAGTCAGCAGTCATACTGTCACTTCACACACTGTACACCCAGCACTGGTAAGATTTTCTCTAGAACACCAATGTATAGAGCTGTGATCTCCAAACTGTGGCCCTGGGGCCGGATGCAGCCCTTTGCATGCCTTTATGCGGCCCTTGAGGCATTATTCCTGCCACTGGCACCAACAATGGGGTGGAATTCCTGCCACTGACACCAATAATGGGGCACTATTTCTCCCACTGACACCAAAGTTCGGGCATTGTTTACTCCCAATGGGAACAGTCCGGCGCCCCTATTGTCTCAAGGACAGCAAACTTGCCCTTTCCTTAGAAAGTTTGGAGACCCCTGGTATAGAGCAACAATATTTATTATAGGTACTTATATAGCACCATCATTTTATGCAGTATTTTACATACATATTTTATGCAGTATTTACATACATCAGTCCCTGCCCTCAAGGAACTTACAATCTAAGGTCTCTAATTCACATTCATACACATACTACATTCATACACATACTACATTCATACACATACTAGGGCCAATGTAGACTGGAGCCAAATACCAGCATATCTTTGGAGTGTGGGAGGAAACCAGAGTATCCATAGGAAACCCATGCAGGCACAGGGAGAACTTGCAAACTTTAGGCTGGTCTTGCTGTAGTTGGGGTTCAAACTGACAACCCTAGTGCTGCTAGGCAGAAGTGCTAACCACTGTGCTGCCCCAAAAAAACCTACTTGGTGTTACCAAACACCCATTAGCCATTGTGTACAAGGGAAGGGTGCCAAAGTTATTCCAGTACATGTAATTTTACATATTCTCCTGTCCAGACTGGAAATTGAGCCTTAAAATTAATTGAGGAGGCACAGCCTACCTGCTCAGGACACAGTATAGCTGGGGTCAGGTCAACTCACATTAAAATAACCTCATTGCCCATGATCTGATGTTCTGAGAACCATAATTGGTAAACCATGTAAATGCACATGCAAAGCCACCAAGCCAGTACAGCTGGTCCTTCCATAGGGGGCCCCAGGCTGGAGAGGAGGTCTAGTCAGGGTTTTTAAACAGTATGTGAAAAAACACCAGCCACTCTTTTCACCGAATCCTCTGGCTCCAGTATACAAGTACAGACTACCTTGTACAATACTCATCTTCCCTAAAACCATTTTCCTCCTGGCAGGAAGAAAAACAGAAATTTAAGTACCCTACACAGTGGCTCCGAGCCACGGAAGAAGCACAGGGTCTTGTGGTTGCCCCTGCCTGCATCACATGCTATTCAGTACCCTGCCCAAAGTACAGATTAATGTGCTCAAACATCAATCACTGGCTGCCTAGGCTAAGCAGGAGGAGGCTGCCTGATCCACTGGGCTATCTGTACATACCACTGTATATTGCCCATGACCTGTGTGGATATCCAAAAGCTATAAGCAGTTAGCGTGGGTGGAAGTTTGGAGATTAGGGTGGGAAATACTGATGTGATCCATTGCAGCTTCAATTCTACAGGTATTCATATGTGCTTCTGGGCTAAAGCTTTCTGCTTATCCACATTCAGTCCCTCTCATTATCAGTCATCAGCAGGGCTCTTTTTCAGCGGGAACGCATATCTGGTACTGAATGTATGTAATGGAAGGGGTACTGGGTTGTCTTGGAAGGTCTATGGATGCTTGCTGCTGGAGGATCACTGGGGGATCTGTTTTTTTTGTGTGGCAGTCTATTCTTGCTTGGGAGGTCTATTCTTGCTTAGGGGGTCTATTGTTGCTGTTGGGGGATCTACTGTTGAGGTAATGGTCTATTGTTGCTGGCTTATGGAGAGTCTATTGATGCTGGCTACTGGGAAATCTGTTGTTGCTACTGGGGGTCTATTGTTGCTGGAGTGGTGTTTTGTTGTCGGGGTCCATTGTTGCTGGGGGAATATATTACTGTAGGGGGTCTATTGTTGCTGGCATTGGGAGATCTATTTTACTGCTTTTCCTGTTATCATTAACAAATCCCATACAAATTAGCACCACAAAATGATACTTGGCTTTGCATTGTCTAAAAGGAGTGGTACTGGGCAGTGGGTAGGAGGTGGAACCAAGAGACGGTGCTTGGTGTCGGATAGGGGGGAGGAGACAAGAAGTGACTCAAAAGTGGGGAGTTCCTGCACCTATTCTCTGAGAAAAAATGCCCTAGTCATCAGCAATTTTTTTGTCCAGGTTTATGAAACAGCATTCCCAGAATTGTAAGCTAGCCATAGACAGACTACAATTACACATACCCAGTGATGTGACTGTCCTCAGGTGATACACAGAGATGAAGCAAATCTTCCTACATAAGTTATACCTGTTTATCTGCAATCTTTTCTTCTCTACATCCATTCAAAGTGCAGAATTTATAAAGCTGCTCTGAGAGTTTGGAGAAAAGGGGGCAGAAAGCTAAAATTACACACTGAAGAGCTCAGTAAAGAGAGTTCTGAGAGCTGATTGGGAGGAAGTGACACACCCCCCCCTCCACACAGCTCACAGGAACAGAGTTGAGGGTGGCACTGTGCTGGAGCTCCCTCCCCGTCACCATTTTTCTCTTGGTGTCAGGAAAACGTTTCAAAAGTGATTCATGCTGATAGCAGAGGAAGGAAGCAGCAGACAGAAATGACACTTAGAGCTCTTAAATGAGTATAGAGGGATATGCTTTGTTCATGTCATATCTGAGGTTTACAACCACTTCAAATCAGCTCTCTGACTCTAGCCTCTGAGTCACATGTACTTAGCATTTAGGAACCTAACATGAAAACAAACACTGGCCATACACTGCTCAAAATTTGGCCAGTTCCTGATTAAATCTAGTAGAATTCTTCTGTTTCAGCCTGGAAGTTGAACAAAAGAAATTTATGGTTGAATTGCCAGCTTTAATCTAATGATTGATCTGCATTATCCAGTGACATGCCATGTCTTGAACATTGCTTAGGACCAGCTCACACCATAGAAACGCCGTCCGGATGTGGTCTGGACGCAGTCCTGATGCATTTGTGCATGCGCATTTTTGATGCATTCCGGCGCACATCCCCCCCCCCCCCCCAGTGTTCTTCACCTTAAATAAGGACATGAGCGTTCCAGTGCATTTTACTGCATTCCATTACAGTTCAGTGCAGAAATAATGCAGCATGTTCTTTTAATTTATCTGGAACTAGAACGCACTGGAACTGACTGTACTGGTGTGAACTATGCCACTGGAAACCATATATCCTATTATCCTTGAGTTTTTGATGCAGACAAAAAAACGCACTGGACTGCATGTGGTGTGAACCGGCACCCTTAAGCTGCTTTAAGAGTAACTGCAGTTTGATAGATCAAGGTCATTGTTCTGCTTTTACGGACTACATCAGGGGTCTCCAAACTTTTTAAGCAAAGGAGCACTTTACTGTTCTTAAGGTTTTAGGGGGGCCAGACTGTGGTTATTGGGAATAGAAATTGTCCTGGTATCAGAGGGAGTAAACAATGCATCTTTGGTATTATTGTGAGGAATAGCACCTCATTGTTGGTGTCACTGGGAGGAATAGCGTCCCATCGTTGGTGTCAGTGGGAGGAATATTGCTCTATTGTTGGAGTCAGTGGGAGGAATATTGCTCCATGATTGCTGTCAATGGGAGGAATAGAGCCCCATCATTGGTTTCAGTGGTAGTAAGAGTGCCCCATTGTTGGTGTTAGTGGGAGGAATAGTGCGCAATCATTGGTGTCAGCGGGAGGAATAGTGCGATATCATTGGTGTCAGTGGGAGGAATAGTGCTTCATGATTGGTGTCAATGGGAGTAATAGTGCCCCATTGTTGGTGTCAGTGGGAGTAATAGTGCCCCATTGTTGGTGTCAGTGGGAGTAATAGTGCCCCATTGTTGGTGTCAGTGGGAGGAATAGTGCCCTATCATTGGTGTCAGCAGAAGGAATAGTGCCTCGTCATTGGTGTCAGTGGGAGGAATATTGCTCTATGGTTAGAGTCAGTGGAAGGAATAGTGCTCCATGATTGCTGTCAATGGGAGGAATAGAGCCCCATCATTGGTGTCAATGGGAGTAATAGTGCCCCATTGTTGGTGTCAGTGGGAGGAATAGTGCCCTATCATTGGTGTCAGTGGGAGGAATAGTGCTTTGTTTTTGGTGTCAGTGGAAGGAATAGTGCTCCATGATTGCTGTCAATGGAAGGAATAGTGCTCCATGATTGCTGTCAATGGAAGGAATAGTGCTCCATGATTGCTGTCAATGGGAGTAATAGTGCCCCATTGTTGGTGTCAGTGGGAGGAATAGTGCCCATCATTGGTGTCAGTGGGAGGAATAGTGCTGTTTTTTGGTATCAGAGGAAAGAATAGTGCCCCATCATTGTTGTTAATGGGAGGAATAGTGCCCTATCATAGGTGTCAGTGGGAGGAATAGTGCTCTGTTGTTGGTGTCAGAGGAAAGAATAGTGCCCCACCATTTTTGTTAATGGGAGGAATAGTGTCCTATCATGGGTGTCAGTGGGAGGAAAAGTGCCTCATCGTTGGTGTCAATGAGAGGAATAGTGCCTGGTTGTTGATGTCAGTAGCAGGAATTATGCCCCATTGTTGGCATCAGCGGGAGGTATAGGGTCTTGAATCAGTGGGAGGAAAAGTGCCCTAGGGGCCAGATAAAACCAAGCAAAGGGCCACATCCGGCCCCTGGGCCACAGTTTGGAGACCACTGGACTACATGATTCCCTTTTTTCTGCCATACAATCCTGCAAACTGTCTGTGGACATTTACCTAACCAATACTGTAGATAGGTTTCACACCGTCACCTGCATAATGTTCATCAAGAGCCAAGTGTAGCGAGTGCGTTGTTTGTATTGCAGACAGAGGACAGTAGGACAGAGGCAGCAGACACAGCACGAGCAGTAGCATCTGCTGAAAGCTCCCAGGCACTGCAAGCAGATGTCACTCGCACCCATCATGTAAGTGTTACCCAAGAATTACATTGCTATAAAAGATTTAGCACCAATGAATCATTCACTTCACAGGTTATTTGCAGGCTGATGCCTTCTTCACCACATTACATTTGCCAAGAATTTATTTTTATCATTCTTCAGGTTTCCCATACTGCCACAGCAGAGACATTGTCCTCCTCCACAACCACCCATGTGACTAAGGTAAGTCTGTGCTTCCCACCACAAACATGGTAATGAGGCTGTCCTTGCTAACCTCCTGCTGAAAATACTAATTGCCTGGCTGTTGTACTCAGCCATTGGTTTCAACACTTTCTGAGTAACTGATTCTGACCAGTGTGTGTCAGGAGTCCTTAACCACTTCCAGTCCGAACACTTTCACCCCCGTCCTGCCCAGGCCAATTTTCAGCTTTCAGCGCTATCACACTTTGAATGACAATTGCGCGGTCATGCAACACTGTACCCATATTAATTTGTTAGCATTTTTTTGAGACAGATAAAACTTTATTTTGGTGGTATTTATTCACCACTGGGATTTTAATTTTTTTTGCTATGTAACTGAAAAAGTCCAAAAATTTTGAAAAAAAGTGTTTTTTTTATAAAATTTTGCAAATAAATAATATTTCATCATAAATCTTTGCCAAAATGTATTCCGTTATCGTTTTAGTAAAAAAAAAAAAAAACAAATTAGTTTATAACCAAAAATTATAATTTTTAAACATTTTTTTTTTACATTTTTATTTTATTTTTTTATATTATTATTTTTTTATTTATTTATTTATTTTTACATACTGTCACCCTAGCAGTACAGTGTCACCATGGTGACACTGTACTACTTGTGGGGGGTGATGAAGATTTTTTTTTTTTTTTTTTTACAATGATTGCTTTTATACCCATATAGGATGTAAAAGCAATCATTTCTCTTTCTCTCTTTGTGCATTCCTGCACTCATTGAGAAGTACTGAGTGAGCTGTGATTGGTCACAGCTTGTCACATGGTACAAGGCTGTTGTGAATAGCCTTGTACCATGTGACCTCTGTGATCATTCACAGATTTCACACGTAGTAAGCAATGATGTCACAAGTGACATCTTGCTTACTACTTTGCATGTGATCACTGATTGGCCAATCAGTGATCACATGATCGGGACCTCGTACAGAGGTCCCGTCCGACGATCGGTGTTTCACTGTGTCCGGAGGATCCCCGGGAGCGCGCACAAGCAGGGTGCAGGGAGGCCGTTCATAAACGGCCACCTGACCCTGTACTGCCACCGTCCGGCCGTTTATATGTAACGGCCGGTCGGGAAGTGGTTAACCACTTCCAGTCCGAACACTTTCACCCCCGTCCTGCCCAGGCCAGTTTTCAGCTTTCAGTGCTATCACACTTTGAATGACAATTGCACGGTCATGCAACACTGTACCCATATGAATTTGTTAGCATTTTTTTGAGACAGATAAAACTTTATTTTAGTGGTATTTATTCACCACTGGGATTTTTATTTTTTTTGCTATACAAACTTTAACCAGTGCTCTGCTGGACACTGGTAGAAGTCACAAGACTGCAATATACTGCTGATGAGAAAAGGTGTTTAGCAGTTTATATTTACTAAAATATTTGCATTTTCATGTTGTGTGTACCGTGGGAGACCAGATATAGTGAATGCAGGGTCCTGGGTTTACTAACACTTTAATTTTTTGGAAGGGTGTGCACAGACTTTTGGCTGTATAGTGATGATCAGGTGTCCAAAAATGTTTAGCCATATAGTGCATATCTCTCTTACATGGGAAAAATATCAACATCAAAAACATGACAGCAAAATGAATATACCTAATGCAGGCCATACATGGGTTGAATTCTGAATGAATTGTCTTTTTAAAAAAAAATCTGAAATTTCGTGCATTTTGTAATCTGATGGTGCCACCATTGATCTCAAAATTCAACCAACCAAGCCTTCAATTTCATCTCATGTTGCTACAGAAAAGAATTTTTTTTGTGGCCAAGAATTTTCTTTTCTTTCCAGGTCACAGCTCATTTCTTTTTTTACTATATTTCTTGCACGATTCTCCCATCATTGATTAGAAATTCATTTGTTTTTAAAAAAAATTCCCATGTCCCGATCACTCAAATTCGATGATCACACGAATATTTGCCATTTCTGTGGCTCACTAATGGTGCGACATTCGAAAAGAAATTCTTAGAAAAGATTTTATAAAGAAAATTCTTTGGGAATTGGACCCGTGTATGGCCGGCTTTAGTATAACTATATGATGACTACTGTTTACAATACATTATATATTCTACTTAACATCTTTCCTATATCTTTTCATTCTCGTAACTGCAATCTAATTTGACCTTCTTTGTGTGAACTGTGTCTGTACAGACTGTAAAGGGTGGATTCTCTGAAACAAGGATAGAAAAGAGGATAATTATTACAGGGGATGAAGATGTGGATCAAGAGCAGGTAATACATACCAACTATCATAAAATAAAATATCTACTGATGTTAAAGTGGTTATACTATGAAAAGGGTTTTAGCGTAATGTAATCTCTGCACTAAGGTAAAAAACCTTTCAAAAGCTGCTCCCCGCTAGCCACCCTTTAAAACATTTACCTGAGTCCAACCTTGATCCAGCATTGTGTTCATGTGCAGCAGCTCTTCTCTCCTCTCTTTCTCACAGGAGACTTGGCAGCAGCGAAAGCCATTGGCTCCTGCTGATGTCAATTAAATCCTATGAGGATGGAGTGGTGCGTGGGGGCAGAGCTGTGCTGTGTGTGTTTATGGACACACACAGCCTGGCTTTGGATCAAGCCCACAGGCATGTCCCTATAGCACAGGGGTGTCAAACTGCCTGCCCTCCAGCTGTTGCGAAACTACAAGTCCCATCATGCCTTTGGGAGTCATGCTTGTAACTGTCATTCTTGCAATGCCACATGGGAATTGTAGTTTGGCAACAGCTGGAGGGCCGCCAGTTTGACACCTGTACTATAACAAGTGACTTGTTATAGGGGCACTTGGAAAAGAGGAGGATCCAAGATTACCGGCAGAGGACAGCAGAAGAGAAGGTTAGGGAGCCACTCAGTGTAAAAGCATTGCACGGAGCAGATAAGTATAACATGTTTATTATTTTCAGAATAAAAAAAAAGCTTTACAATCACTTTAAAGCTGAACTGCACACAACAGCTAAATACACAGATGACATATATACGGTGGGGATCGAAAGTTTGGGCACCCCAGCTAAAAATTTGTATTAATGTGCATAAAGAAGCCAAGGAAAGATGGAAAATTCTCCAAAAGCATCAAATTACAGATTAGACATTCTTATAATATGTCAACAAAAGTTAGATTTTATTCCCATCATTTACACTTTCAAAATAATCGAAAACAAAAAAATGGCGTCTGCAAAAGTTTGGGCACCCTGCAGAATTTATAGCATGCACTGCCCCCTTTGCAAAGCTGAGACCTGCCAGTGTCATGGATTGTTCTCAATCATCGTCTGGGAAGACCAGGTGATGTCAATCTCAAAGGTTTTGAATGCCCAGACTCATCTGACCTTGCCCCAACAATCAGCACCATGGGTTCTTCTAAGCAGTTGTCTAGAAAACTGAAACTGAAAATAGTTGACGCTCACAAAGCTGGAGAAGGCTATAAGAAGATAGCAAAGCGTTTTCAGATGTCAATATCCTCTGTTCGGAATGTAATTAAGAAATGGCAGTCATCAGGAACAGTGGAAGTTAAAGCAAGATCTGGAAGAGCAAGAAAAATATCAGACAGAACAGCTCGCAGGATTGTGAGAAAAACAATTCAAAACCCACGTTTGACGTTTGAAAGATCTGGAAGACACTGGAGTTGTGGTACACTATTCCACTATAAAGAGATACTTGTACAAATATGGTCTTCATGGAAGAGTCATCAGAAGAAAACCTCTTCTACGTCCTCACCACAAAAATCATCATTTGAACTTGCAAATGAACATATAGACAAGCCTGATGCATTTTGGAAACAAGTTCTGTGGACCGATGAGGTTAAAATTGAACTTTTTGGCCGGAATGAGCAAAGGTACGTTTGGAGAAGAAGGGGCACAGAATTTAATGAAAAGAACCCCTGTCCAACTGTTAAGCATGGGGTTGGATCAATCATGCTTTGGGGTTGTGTTGCAGCCAGTGGCACAGGGAACATCTCACGAGTAGAAGGAAAAATGGATTCAATAAAATTTCAGCAAATTTTTTGGGTGGTGACTTGATGCCATCTGTGAAAAAGCTGAAGTTAAAGAGAGGATGGCTTCTACAAATGGATAATGATCCTAAACACACCTCGAAATCCACGGGGGATTACATCAAGAAGCATAAACTGAAGGTTTTGCCATGGCCTTCACAATCTCCTGACCTCAACATAATTGAAAATCTATGGATAGACCTTAAAACAGCAGTGCGTGACAGACAGCCCAGAAATCTGAAAGAACTGGAAGACTTTTGTAAGGAAGAATGGGCAAAGATACCTCAAACAAGAATTGAAAGACTCTTGGCTGGCTACCAAAAAAGCGTTTACAAGCTGTGATACATGCCAAAGGGGGCAGTACAAGATATTAACTCTGCAGGGTGCCCAAACTTTTGCAGACACCATTTTTTTTGTTTTCTGTTATTGTGAAAGTGTAAATGATGGAAATAAAATCTAACTTTTGTTGACATATTATAAGAATGTCTATTCTGTAATTTGATGCCTTTTGGAGATTTTTCCATCTTTCCTTGGCTTCTTTATGCACATTAATACAAATTTTTAGCTGGGGTGCCCAAACTTTCGATCCCCACTGTACACTGTATATGGGAGCTATTATCTGCTAAAAGATTTAAATGTCTCTCTATTTGTTTTTGAGATGGACATTACACAGCTCTGTCTGGCAGATTAGAAGACCTGATTTTTCTCTGCTGCAGTTAAGTAACACTTACAGGTCTTGTCTCTCGCCTATCCTGAGACTGGACAGTAAAAAAAGCAGCATACTGATGAGGTCATCTCTCTGCCAATCTACTCTCCTATCATATCAGCATTTTCCTTTTTAGCACATGAGCACTGCTGCACAACCAATGCTGCTTATCCCTCCCCCTCTCTGAGCTCTGTTGTACAGGGACTACAAGAGGCTGATACAAGTCAAATTTAGGTACTCACACTATTTGAATTAAAATAAAAAATCTAATGATGTATTCGTGTATAGAGAGCTACAATAATTTGTGTCTTTTATATTTGTCTGGAGTTTAGTTTTTTTGCTTGCCATATATTTCAGAGTACATGAGTAATGTTCTGAACATTTTAACTCATCTTCCATGTTCCAGAAATAAAAAAGCTAATGAAACTGTGTAAACCATGGCAACCGGGAGATGTTTTGTATGCAATTGGTATATAGAACACCCCCAGAAATGTCATTTCATGCTCAGATGAAGAACTCTGCACTAAGGGTTTATTCTAAGCAGCCTCTGCAATAAAAATTTCATTTTTGGAGAGATACTCCCTCAGGGAGGCCATAGATTATGCAATTATCTTTCCTTCCACCAGGGGTGGATGGAAAGAAAATTCCTTGATTCACCCATCATCACAGTCAGTGTTGATGGGAGAATACCTCCTGCAGTGCTTTTGTATTCTACAGGCTGGGAACCTTCCCTGCCGGCAGAACACGATTAGTATTGCCTGCTATAGCTGACAGCACTGATCGTTCAGAAAAAACCTGAAAGACCGGATGTACACAAGTCAGTCAATAAACCAACTAGGGTGCCCATACATGGATCAAAATTCAAAGGGTCCCTGCTGAACCAGCCGAATTTCAATCCATGTATGGCCGACTTAAGTCTTTGTTCCTACAGGGTGTACTATACTGTAAGCCTGTGCAGACCCATATTTACCCACACGGGTGTTCCATACATCCCCATGCAGGCAGTCCCATTGATATCTATTGGGACACAGCAGCTGCACAGGCACAGCCACTGTGTCCTAATATGTCATCCTGTATTCCAATATGTCATCTGTATCCCAATATGTCATCCTGTATTCCAATATGACATCCTGTATCCCAATATGTCATCTGTATCCCAATATGTCATCCTGTATCCCAATATGACACTGTCTGCATTTGGGGATCTGCATCTGCACCCACACGGATGTCATATTGGGACACAGTGGCTGTATCTGTGCAGCCGCTGTGTTCCAAAAGACATCAATGGGACTGCATGCACAGGGATGCATGGAATGCCAGTATATGCCACAAACTAAAAATATATGCTTTGGGGGGACAGATTTCTAGGTTTTAAAAAGAATAAAGAATTAATTTCCTAGCAAGTATCAAAATAAAAAAAAAGCTTTCATTGCAATACTCACCTTCCGACCTCATTCACACAGGCATACTAAAGCGTATACCTGTGCAAAGGGTCGTGCTTGCCCACAAGGGATGCACAGGTGGTCTAGGTATCCCTGTGCAGTCAGTCCTATTTATGTCAATTGGGATGCACTTGCTTGCACGGACCAATATGACATCTATGTAGGCGTAGGTGTTTGTTACCAAACTTATACTATTCCAAAACGTATGCTATACAGCAGTGGCTGTGTCTGTGCAGCCTCTGCGCCCCAATTGACATGAATGAGACTGCCGAAACAGGGATATATGGAACACCCGTGCACCTGTGGCAAACATGGCCCTTTGCACAGATGGACACGTTAGTATGCCCACGTGAATGAGGCCTCAGTCTGGCACCGAAGTTCTGCTGGTGCTTCTCTTCTGGGTTGAATGACAGCCAACATCGTTCAGCCTATTTCCTGAGAGCCCAGGCAGTCATGGACATGCCCCAATGCTGAACTAGAAGAGGAAGAACGTGTGATGTCAATGGGCTAGCAAAAAAGTTGCTTTCATAAAGGTAAGTATCCAATGCATTTTTAAAATAGGTGTTGAAAGTCCTCAGGGGTGGGGGATATGAAAGGTAGAAATAGGCTTTAAATATTAAAAAAAGGAGATGAAAAGTGTCCTTATGCATATACATCAATAGCTACAAACAGAAGTACACGAGAAAACTTTTTTGTTCACTTCACCCAACCTCTTAATCCACCTAGGCTCTGGCCATGGCTATAAAAGAAGCTAAGTTACAACACCCGGATATGTTGGTCACGAAAGCAGTGGTGTATTGTGAAACAGAGCCCTCCCCTGAGGAGCCTGAGGAGAAACAACAGGTACTGTAAATTTCGCTACAGTGAACTCTTGTATATTTTTTCTGTCAATTTTTTTATACACTCTTCTTTTATCTTCTTTTCTAGCAATCTTGACCTTGGATGTTGGATGTAAATCGTCCCTTTCATCTCCCTCTCTCTGTCCCTCCATCATAAAAATAAAGACTGTCCCTCCCTTCCCCAAACTTACACCTCATGCCAGCTGCAAGATCTCCAAACCGGCAGGGGACATCCATGCAATCAGCATTCCACGGCAGAGAGAGAGAGAGAAACTGGTCACCCACCCGGAGCTGATTAGCCACCTCCTAAGAGTGAAGGAGGCACTGAGACACTCATTCTTCTGCATCTCCCCTTTGCTCGCTCCTCTTCTGAGAAGCATGCCTAGCAATGCGTGACTGCATGTGGCATCAGCAGGGATAACTGGATCAGGACTGTTAGGGAATTTCAGCTCTGAGTAACCGAACGTCCTCTGAAGTGTATCCTAAAACATTGTTTCGGGTACTCCTGCAACAAAGGGGTTAATGATCAAAGCCTCCACCTTCTTTATATAGAAAGCTAGTTACGTCTTATTCTTCTCCAATAACTTACAGCCAGATAATCACTGATATAGATGAGTAGTGTTGTCTGATCCTGTCCTGTTAATCTCAGTCATAAACTGTTAGCTTCCGCCAGGTAGAGTTCCAGCAGATCTCACCTTCTGAATTCCTGTCCTGCAGCAGCAGCACTATGGAAAACTAAAGTCAGCAAGCGGTCCTGGGCTCTGCCGGCTGAAAGTTCTACAAAAATTAACCCATTTGTTGCCAGCTGTGGAGCTAGAAGATGTCCCTGCTAGTTGGGGGATAGGCTGAGCCATTTGTGTGAAAAGGTTAATTTCGCACAGGGGGAGGCCTGACCTACTGCAATGCTGTGCTCTCCCCCTGTCCCTCCTCCTCCCTGTGCACCGTGATCACTGCTCTATAGCCAATAAAAAACAAAGTCAGTGTGATATGTTTCTTTACTTATTGTGCATGTCATTCTAGATACAGTTTCCCTGAAACTGAAAGTTTTTCCGATAATTATTTCCTGTATTAATATATGTCAATGTATTGCACAACATTTTAGTAAAAAGAACCATTTGCATCAGCCCCTCCCCAGAGGAGCTTCTAATAAGATATCACTATCAGTCATACAAGCACACATACCTTTATGCTCTATGGTTAACCAGTATGTTTGAAAGTAAACCTGTCATTGAAATTTGTGATGCCATTAGATGCCTGGAGTTATATAAGGGAAAGTATCATGTATTTTCATTTATTATTGCTTTAAATCATTTTTATGTAAATTTCACATTTTTACATGCTGGCTCTATATTTTTATTGTATCAAAAGCCCAACTCCACCATGGACGTAAAATAAAAAAAACAGTGGTCAAGCAGGTGTTAACATTTAAAAAGCAGCTTTTGCTGCAATACAAATTTCCTCTCTGATGCTATCACCCACATTCCCAGCACCTTTTCTCTCTGGGTTAGAGATGTAAAATTTCCAGAAATTTTGAAGCAATGGAAAAAAAAAAAAAAATTTTCCGGACAAAAATTTACATTTTTGGAAAAATGTAAAAATTCAGTGTGGAGTAGTTTTACAAATTGAAAGTCTCGGAAAGTGAATTGCAGTGTATATAAAACTATTGCTTGAAATAAAAGTAGAGCTTATTCAGTAATTAAACTAAACTTGTGATGATCCAGAAGCAGCAGAAAAAGTGCTTCTGGAATGGGAACTCTGGAGGGAAAAGTTACTTGCGCTTTCATTGTTGTCCTCATCATTTATTCCCTGATGTATTGTTTAATGTCTTTAGGGCAGCCTTTCTCAACCAGGGTGCCCAGGCACCCTGGTGTGCCTTGAGGTTTCTTTAGGGGTGCCTTGGCAAAATGTCTAAAATTGCCCAAAGCTTGTATACAAACCAGCAGGTGGAACAAGCCTGCCTTTTAGTTACACAAGGCCACAGGTTTTCATTGTGCACTATTATGACCTTCTAGCTGCCGGCATCCTGACAACCAATGACCTCATCAGTTGATAAGGAGGATGTCAGCTGCCTGCACAGCATCCTGGTTTGATCCTCCCCCGCCCCTCTCCATCAGTGCTGGGGTCACATTAGCTCAGTGATGGAGAAAAACTGAGGGAGAAGAGAAACACTGGAATACTACTTAGTACCAGTGTGAAAAAGTGTATTTGCTTTGGAAGAATAAATCACCTCTAATGTTGGGTGTCCTACGTGTGTGGATGTTGCTGCATTATATAAAACTATTAGAATAGTTTTTTCACATTTTAGAATGGGGTTCATAATTTTAAAGGGTACCTCGGGACTGCCCATTATTTTAAAGGGTGCCTTGACTGAAAAAAGGTTGAGAAACACTGGTTTAGGGCACCTCTGGGATGCAAGGGTGTGTTTTGTCATCCTTGTAGCATTTGGAAAAGAATATTCTCACAATGTTGGCAAATTGCAGTTTTGCTCTCAGCAGAAATTGCACTGTGGAAATGTTTGCAAACAATGTGGAAATGTTGGTCTCACCATTTTACTGAAAGGAGGAAAAGAAAAACCAATGTACTGAGCAGACTATAGGTAACCATTATGCTGTGATGGTGTAGAACATTAATAAGATTTAAAGGTTATAAAGATAAACTATAACTGAAAGGTTGAGTCTCTAGCTGCTCATCCCAAAATCAAATACACAAATGAACATCCCCATAAGGCACTTTCATGCAGCAACCATAATACATGTACATAAAAGGACTTTAAAAAAATACATACTTTATTCCATAAACAGCCTTGTAAAAGGTATACAATTTTTAAAGCACATTAGCTCTGACAATATTGTAATGGGCTTTTTTCACACAATGAACTCGGACAATACTAACAAATATTGTAATGTTTCTTCCTAACTATGATAAGAAACTCCCAAGAAAAGGCAGACTACTGACGCGTTTCGATCACTCCATTTTGGGTCTTCTTCAGGGAGCATAGACACAGAAGGAACTTCTAATAAAGATAGAAAAACAAATGATAGTATACACAAAAATACCATAATAATACTTACAAAAAAGTTTTTGTAAAAGAGCATTGATCAGAGCAATTCTAAATGGTATCCAGGGTGGGATTGTACAATCCAAAGCCTCAAGGGTATGACCCCACCAAAAGAGTGAGAGTGGTCAAATATGCATCCTAAACTTGACAGAACCTCAGGAACACCGAACCACCCTCGATATTCCTCTAGAAACATCTTAAGAAGTATAGTATAAGTTGGGTGCAAAGCCAGTTCAATAAATCTACAGTGGGGATCGAAAGTTTGGGCACCCCAGCTAAAAATTTGTATTAATGTGCATAAAGAAGCCAAGGAAAGATGGAAAAATCTCCAAAAGGCATCAAATTACAGATTAGACATTCTTATAATATGTCAACAAAAGTTAGATTTTATTTCCATCATTTACACTTTCAAAATAACAGAAAACAAAAAAATGACCTCTGCAAAAGTTTGGGCACCCTGCAGAGTTAATATCTTGTACTGCCCCCTTTGGCAAGTATCACAGCTTGTAAACGCTTTTTGTAGCCAGCCAAGAGTCTTTCAATTCTTGTTTGAGATATCTTTGCCCATTCTTCCTTACAAAAGTCTTCCAGTTCTTTGAGATTTCTGGGCTGTCTGTCACGCACTGCTCTTTTAAGGTCTATCCATAGATTTTCAAATATGTTGAGGTCAGGAGATTGTGAAGGCCATGGCAAAACCTTCAGTTTACGCCTCTTGATGTAATCCCCCGTGGATTTCGAGGTGTGTTTAGGATCATTATCCATTTGTAGAAGCCATCCTCTCTTTAACTTCAGCTTTTTCACAGATGGCATCAAGTTACCATCCAAAATTTGCTGAAATTTTATTGAATCCATTTTTCCTTCTACTCGTGAGATGTTCCCTGTGCCACTGGCTGCAACACAACCCCAAAGCATGATTGATCCAACCCCATGCTTAACAGTTGGACAGGGGTTCTTTTCATTAAATTCTGTGCCCCTTCTCCAAACGTACCTTTGCTCATTCCGGCCAAAAAGTTCAATTTTAACCTCATCGATCCACAGAACTTGTTTCCAAAATGCATCAGGCTTGTCTATATGTTCATTTGCAAAGTTCAAACGATGATTTTTTGTGGTGAGGACGTAGAAGAGATTTTCTTCTGATGACTCTTCCATGAAGACCATATTTGTACAAGTATCTCTTTATAGTGGAATAGTGTACCACAACTCCAGTGTCTGCCAGATCTTTCTGGAGGGATCGTGCAGTCAAACGTGGGTTTTGAATTGTTTTTCTCACAAAAAAACAGCTCTCTGCGAGCTGTTCTGTCTGATATTTTTCTTGGTCTTCCAGATCTTGCTTTAACTTCCACTGTTCCTGATGACTGCCATTTCTTAATTACATCCCGAACAGAGGATATTGACATCTGAAAATGCTTTGCTATCTTCTTATAGCCTTCTCCAGCTTTGTGAGCGTCAACTATTTTCAGTTTCAGTTTTCTAGACAACTGCTTAGAAGAACCCATGGTGCTGATTGTTGGGGCAAGGTCAGATGAGTCTGGGCATTTAAAACCTTTGAGATTGACATCACCTGGTCTTCCCAGACGATGATTGAGAACAATCCATGACACTGTCTCAGCTTTGCAAAGGGGGCAGTGCATGCTATAAATTCTGCAGGGTGCCCAAACGTTTGCAGACGGCATTTTTTTTGTTCTCTGTTATTTTGAAAGTGTAAATGATGGAAATAAAATCTAACTTTTGTTGACATATTATAAGAATGTCTAATCTGTAATTTGATGCCTTTTGGAGATTTTTCCATCTTTCCTTGGCTTCTTTATGCACATTAATACAATTTTTTAGCTGGGGTGCCCAAACTTTCGATCCCCACTGTAAATATTAATATTCAAATAAATCCACAAAGACAAAACTGACCATTTGAGGGCTTGGCAATGAGCATAGAAGGTTGAGATACTTAT